ACTTTAAAAATTGGTCAAATAAATCTCCGCAAATATATTGAAAAAAAACAAAGCGGTTTGTGTTTTCATGGCAAGTAGTAGTTTTTAATGCTCTCAATTCTAGATTTATGGTTTCTTGCTTGATTCATCCCTAGTATATGATATTTGGTTGCTGTTTTCATTTTTTACCCCTTTCGTCTTGTTTAAGTGATTTGGCTTTGTTTTTTTCGTTTTAATCTTTCTCCTTTTTAGATCTTTTGGCTCTAGAAATATTTCAGTTGACCCAAACAAACAAAGAAAAATGCGCCAGCTTTTATATTTTGTTACAGACAATAAAAATAAAATTTGGATGAAAACAATATTTATAAAACGAAAAATTAATTGAGTTGGGATTTGTGACTGTAAGAAATATGTTACATAGCTTCTTTTTTTTTGTCGTCATAGATAGCTAAATTTACGATGAAATTATTTCAACATAAAAAATTATTTCAATACTTGACTGATTTGCAATAAAACATTTTACTGAATTTTGAAGATAAAATTTGCTGCAAATTATTCACAAAATTGTTGTTTACGATAGAGTTGCTACTGAAACAACTAATACGAGGCAATTTTGTTACACCATATTAGTAGCAAATATTAAAGTCTTGTATTTGTGTTCATAAATAATTTAAAAGATATTGATCATCTTGATTGGTTTGAATGTTCACATATTGTTTTTACTTACATGTGTTTAAATACTGAAAATTAATCTTTTTATAGACACATATTGTGAATATAATCGTAAAAATGTTAAAACCCCACTAAATTCAATAAACCCTCTCCGACTCATGAAATTATATTTCATTCTTCAAATTCTCCATGATTTAAAAAAATACATGGGAAGAAAATGATAAAAAGATACATGTTCAATCTCAAGAACAAGTCCTCAAGATCTCTCTACAAATACAACTCTCCTAAAAAGCACCCGAATTTTGCTTTTTCAAACATTATTGTAAACGAGAAGCAATAAGATCAAGAAACACTTCTTCTCTACAAGGAATGGTCAAGCCTCCCATTGGATGATTGAATCCAAACTCTTCCTCTGCTCGACTAAGAAACTCTCTGAAACAAGGATGATTCAAATACGATATTGGAACCACAAATCTCTTCTTCTCCTTCTCAATCTGTTCTCCAACGTACACTGCCACATGCCCTTTAGGGACATGATCCGATGATGATGATGTTCGGTTTCTGTTTGCCAATGAGTTTAGCTTCAATATCTGTTTTGTTGCATTTGAAATCGCAAAACGGCTCAAACCCATTTTTCTTTTTTTTTGCTCTAAGACCAAAGGTGTTATAAGAATTTTCTCAAAGAAAGTTTTTTTTTTTCTTTTTCACCACAATGCTTGAGATGAAGAAAGGTGGTGATGATTGCCTCTATTTATAATAATGGAAATTTTCAAAAATAACGATTCATAGCTTTTCAATGATTTAAGGGCATTTAATGGGTTTTAGTTTTCTCATGTAAGTTGTTTGACTTATATCATCTTCTCACATGGCTTAACTCATCCATAAAGTTCTCCAACAAAAAGTTCTATGTTCTACTAATCGTGCCTCATTTTTTCTCTTCAACGTAGAAATATGTGCCTTTAAATAGATAATAACAAGTGGACAAAGAATTTAGATAGAAGATAGAGAACAACTTGGCACATTGGATGATATGACAATGAACATGAAGCAAAAATTCAGGATACAGATAACAAATCTGATATTTCAGATTAAACAGAATTATTGCTCATTTTGGTTAATCATTGGATTGCTTTCGTTTGATCGATGCGAATCTTCTATCTTAGTAGCAAATCATTACGGCCGCAAATATCTTCAATTTGTTGAAGCTGAAATTAACAAATCATAACATTTGATCTTTGATTTGTTGAGTGGCATCCAATTACCAAAATTGCAGTCTATAGCACATGGATGTTTCTTGGAATCATTCTTGATATTCTAGTTGGAGACTCCACATTTGTTATCTTTCGAAAACAACGTACCTTAAAACAAAATTCAGTAATATATATTTAAAAACTATTTAGTATATGTGTTTCAGTCCAAGAAACTATGGTTTTGTAGCATGTTTTTCTCTTCGAATTGAATATCGGAAAATGCTTTAGTTATTTTTTGAATAATATGTTTTCTATAAAATTTTCAAACTCGGTATCAAGTAAACCTCTTCTTAGGAGATATGCCCAATTTCAATTTTCTAACTCGAGTATTTAGCATAAAAAAAAAAAAAAATTCTAACTCGGGATCCAGGTGTATCAAATGTTAAACAAAATGTTTGACTATTCTATAAAGATGATGTATATGATTTGCTGTGAATTTTGTCAAGAAAAGTCAATGAAAAACGAAAACTATAAGAGATTTAGAGAGAAAAACGAATTGAGCCAACTACCTTTTTGTATTAGCTAGGGTTTTTATTATTTGTGTAGAATGAATCAGTTACAAACCCTTATAAGTTATAACTCATATATAACTCTTAAATCCGATACAAACAAAAATAGAAAATAAAAAATATTTCTAACTCTAAGATATATATCGTGTTCATTAAAGAAGGGTTATTTCACAGTACCTTATATATTTTAAGTTACCAAGGATAACATAATTTGTTAAAAAAATTGAATACAAAATATTTTTAATGAAATTGGAAAGTATGCTGGAAAGGTTAGTATTTGTATATTTCTTTCCTTATTGCTTATGCTGAAAAGGTTAATATTTTGTATTTTGTATTTGTTTCCTTACTGCTTTTTGAGAAGTTAATTTTCGTGTTTATTTGATTATTTTGGATAGTTTTTTTTATTGCTTTTTTTAGTCGAATTTTTTTTTATTGCTATTTGGCAATTATCCTATATAGTTTGATGTGGAATACAAAATTCTCTAGAATTTAGTATGTATGTGTTGATTAATGGAAAAAAAGACTAGAAAATATTTATACGGCTTTGTTTCCTGCCAAATATATAAGATCATGAGTTACTCAATAACATGGTTATTTCTTAATTTGATCCGAGTCTTGTAAATTTTCAAGATGTTACAAAGGGCAGTTGTGATCTTTTTGTTGAAATGTCATTCTCTCTTATGTCTATTTAATACACGATATATATAACTGCTATGATCTTATCTATGATATGTACACTCAAACTAAAATATTCGCAAATCACATACCCATATATGACATTGACATGATATAGAAGTTAATGCATCACAATCAGAAAAGGAAATGAAGAGACCTATCATTTGTCCAGAACATGGTCGGTTCAATTGGTTAAAAGCTTTACGTTATTTTTGTTAGGAATCTCACCTCAAAAGTTAAAATGAGACTTAAGTAATACGAGGGACGTAGCAGTCAAAATCTATAGCGGTCAAAATCTACCCCTGAGAGTCAGTGGCCAAAATTGGTTAAGTGTGAGAAAGTTAAAAAAACCAGCGAAAAACCTTAACGGCCCGCGGCTAACCTTAACGGGAAACCCGCGTGAAACTTTACCCGGAAGATGACCCTACCCGCGGCTAACTTGAACCCGTCCCGTGGCTAACTTGAAACCGACCCGCGAAGAGAAGCCATAACGCGTAGCCGACTCCGCGGAAGGAGAATTCCGAAGAATAAGGGGTCTCCTTTATCTTGTTAGCAGGAACCCTAGCCGCGGAGCGTCTCTATAAATATAATTGTAAACCCTCGTTAAGGGGGATCCGCAGTTTTAGACAGCAAGCTCTTGTTAAAAGTTCAAGGGAAACATCAATAAAAATTCTATTTTCTTATCTTTTGTTTTCCGTGATTTGCACTTAGATATTTCCGTTTTTCAAACTCTAGATAAATTATATTGTTCGAGTTTCGACTCCCACATAGGACATGTGCCACTCCATTTAATATCAATTAATTTTGAATAAAAAATCCATGAAATTTAACATAATGTCATAGTCCATTTTGTTTTCATGGCCTGTGATTGGCCAAATAAAATTTATTATCGTTCTTAGATTGGGATTCAGTATCAAACAAAAAAACCATCATTTCGAAGGGATGTTATCTCTTTAAAATTTCGAGAATTTTCTTTTTTAAATAAAAAATTGGTTTTGTTTAGAAAATTCTTATTTTCTTGCCACCGAAATATCAGCTGAACTGATATTGAAATTGTCTAAGGTCTAGTGCAGAAGTTTTGATAGCAAATGCATTAAGTCGTCGTTACAATAACTATTAATTCAATGATTCAATAAGGTCTATGAATTCACATTCGATAATAATTGGCAATGAGTGGAATAGTAATGAGTTGTTTATACAATTTGACTAAAACCAATTAAGTTTTTGATGGAAATACGACCATGTTATCAATGGATTAATTAGAAATTAAAACTAATATAATTACTTCTTTTTTATGACATAGTGATTAGATCATGTTTAAACCAGAATTACGATTAAATTTCGGAAAACATGTGATTCTTGAGTCTTCGTAGAAATCATCAATCAAGCGAAGGTACTTTGGATATTCTAATGAATTTGTACAACAAGATCTTTGAAAACATGAAAATGCTTTTCATCAATGTTTCTTTCATCGAAGTATAAAAAGTATAACCTGATTTGACTGGTTACACAACATATTTACATGCTGATTAAATCTGCTCTCCTTTGCAGAAATAAACAAAGGGAACAACCAAACAAAATTTCTAAAAAAAGGAAGAAAAAAACTTTTGAGATTTCCCAAAAAAAAAAGATGTCTCAAGTTGAAACAATACAACCATAAGAATTCAAAAGACCCACGAATGTTTCTTCTCTGCAAGGAATCGTTAATCCACCAATTGGGTGATTGAAACCAAACTCTTCCTCTGCTCGACTAAGCAAACCTTGAAATGAAGGATGGTTCAAATACGAAATGGGAACCACGAATCTCTTCTTGTTCTCCATCTCTTCTCCAACATAGACCGCAACATGTCCTTTTGGGACACGAGATTGCTGTTTTTGGGATTGCTTAGAGCTGATCACACGCGACAATCGAATCGCCATGTCTAAATCAAGAACTTAAGAGAAGCTTCAAAAATACTCTGTTTTATGAAAGCAAAGAAAGATTGATGCTTCTTGGTGGAGTTGTGTTCTCAGTTTGTTGTTATTTATAGAGTTCTTTATAGGTTAAAAGGAATCAAATTTCGAACCTATGTTAAATTATACAACATATTTTATTGGAATTAAAAATTAGGAGTTTTGCAGGATTTCACATGGTATACTTTTATTAAAAAAACTAGGGTTTACCTAGAAAAGGCATCAAGCTGATTCTGATTTTTTTTCTGGCTGACTTAAGAATATAATCAGATAGGGACCCACCAAAGTTACAGAACTCACATGCACTCTATCACTTATTAAAATCTCTGGCCATTACATGAAACCAGTTTGGTCTTATTGGTTATGATGAATAGACAACAGAAACAAGTGGCCTTATTGATGAAAATGGACATTTTGACAAGTCTCTTGTTGGCTCTTGAAAATGGTGGCTTTTGGTCTCTGTGTTACCCCCATAGCCCACTTAAGAGGACCCTTTGTGACTTAAATAAAATTGACTTTACAAAACTTGTTAACTATATATTATAATAATTATTATTAAATTTGTAAGACTAAGTTTGGAGTTATGAAAGTGAGAAACATTGAACATGCATGGTTTCTTTGGGTTCTTACAATGTTGAATATCAACAAGTTGAACATTTAGGTAGAAGTATGAGTTTCCGGCACAAAAGACTCCGTTTGGAACACAATAATTTAACGACAATAAAAGATGTCGTCATCATTTATTCAGCAGTTACATAAAATTATATGAATTTATTTATTTGAGATGAATTTGTTGTCTATAATATTACGGTAGAAAGTTCGAAATAAAATTGTTCCAGTTTCAATTATGTTTGAGATAATAAATCCATTGAGCTAATGTAACCGGATATCTGAAATACCCATTTATAATGCTTCATATAAAGGAATTAATGTAATTAGAATGATTATAAATCGTATGTATTTATAATTGGTGGAATTACCTGGTTTACATTTATTCTAAGAAATTGCAGTTAAGGTGATCACGTGTTTCATTTGAATTATTATGATCACAATTATCTCTTCCTAATAACGGAGCGTAACATGTGCTTGACAATCTAAATATGCAATAAATTTTTTTTTTTTTTTTGCTAAAAAAATATGCAATAATTTATATATGATTTATTTCATTTACTATGATAAGTATGAAGTATCACTATCAAATAAAATAGCGAAGTACTGCTTCAATCATTTTCAATAAATATTTCATTTATTTGAATAAAAATATGTCTTCTTCTGATTTATTAACGGTCAGATACTATCGTTATTAATCACTTAACCCATATTTAGTTTCTTAAGAAACTCAGAGTGCATGTGATCCACCATTCCTTAAAATAAGTTAAACTCCTTGAAGAAGTCTTATATATTTTCTTAAGACACTATATTTATAATGTAAGTCAGAGCTAGTTATTTTTTTAATGTAGTTTTTAAAAGAGATTTCCAATTATTTAAAACAGTTTATTATTTCTATACTGTTTTTCTAAACACTACTATTAGAGGCACTGGCGGAGCTAGGTGAGGAAAGGGTGGAGCATGTGCCCCCTGAAATTTTAAAATTCTTTGTAATCCATTAAAACTTAACTTAATTAATCTTGCTAAAATTGTGTGCCCCCCATAAACTTTTTGCCTGCATCCGCAAAGGCATGTTTAATTTCATTGTTTTAAAAAAAGCTCAATATTTAATCTTCGGAATTCCAAACTTTTAACTTGTACACCTTTTCAAAATAGAGAGTGGAGCAAGTATTTGGTCAGAAAATAATATCTTTAGCAAACGCCAAATCAATAGTGAATTTGGATAAAACTGAAATAGTCACTTTCTAACATGTTGAACTAATCGGATTTGACAATAACATGTTAAATAGTGGTTTGTACCATCCGAACTCAAATGTACATAATTGTTGATAAAAAATATAAAAAAAAGTAAATAACTAACTGCATTTTAATTTTTTTTTTTGTCATATTCTACCAGAAGAGTTAAAAGCTTAAAATGTTGAGCTTTTGATGGTTTGAATAATAGGAATATTCGCACGACTTTTTTTTTTTAATTTTACTTCACCACAATTTAAGCTCTGAACAAGTCTCATATACACACATATATATAACTACATTTCCTATAATTCTCCTCTTAAAAAGAAAAAAAAAACAAAAGCTTCACCAAAACCCTTAAAGTAATCAATATACATTCCTCAATGCAGCTGATGAGAAATAATGAGATGAAGAAACGCTTCTTCTCGACAAGGAATTGTCAAACCGCCCATCGAATGATGAAATCCGAACTCTTCCTCAGCGCGATTAAGAAACTCTATGAACAAAGGATGGTTCAAATATGATATCGGAACCACAAACCTCTTCTTTTCCATTTTGTCTCCAACGTAAACCGGTACATGACCTTTAGGAACAAGCCCTGAACT